TTTTTTTCATTTTTCTTTTTTTCAAACTAATAAATAAATTAGAAACACAAAAAGATGACAGTAATTCACCGATATGTGTACCTAAAATGCTAAGCATTGTGCAGAATCATAGAAATTACTTTTGGTAGAAATTAAAAGTTAAAAAACATTAGTTTGGAATAGTTTAAACGATCACAAATCGTTTAAAATTGAGTGTTCAATCAATTAATCTTATCATCCTATAATTCATGTCAGATGGACAAATTATTTGAAATATATCGATGCGGAAAATATTAAATTAAAAAAAGCTGATTTGAAATTACAGTTGAATAATTGCATTAATTTGTCTTTCAATTTCAAGATAAATTTCAATGCAATAAAAATTTTGAATGACAGTGCTAAGAAAGATAAATGAGTGAAAAATGATCGCTAAATTTTCCTTTTCTCTCTCACACTGAATAATATGCATTTCAATGGAATGGTCACATTAAAATGATGCATTTCTCGACTTTTTTTTCTGATGATTTGAAATGTTAAAATGATAAGAAAAGCAGGAATGACCTGATCGTGACCAGGAATATAACGATCTACGAGAATTATTTAATTTTCCACGTTGTCGTTGACTGTGTCGTTCCATCAGACTATTATTGTTAAATGATGATTCCGATATTGGCTGTGCATTATCTAAAAAAGATCTAAGGAATAAAAAATTTTTTTGAAATTTATTTTACAAGCTAAAAGTAAGATATTTGGAAAATTTTTTTCAAGATGAATGGAAGAGTGAAAATATACAGTTTCTTTGGGTAGAAATCATTTTTATTTTGATTGTAATTATTTGAATCGTTGTTTTTTTTTTTTGTTAAAAATAACTGTCAGAGAGATGATAATCAATGTTTAAACTATTTAAATATGTTTAAAATGGAAACATTTTTTTAAAAATTCTCGATCTCAATTTCAATCCTGATTTTTTTATTTATGATTGACACATTTATAAAAGTGTTAAAGTAGTTATGAAAAAAGAGCAAAAGATGAGAAAAACAGTTTTGCCAAAAACGAAAGTATAAACATTCCGAGTATTCCTCCAATATATCCCTCAAAGTATTAGCAAAAAAAAAAAGGAAAAGGTGACAACAATGAAAATTATTTGACGATTTCTTTTTTTTTGAACGCGGCAAAATGCCATCAATCTGTCCATGACGTAAAATAACTGTTAACATTATCAATGCTAATAGCAAATTGAAATAATAATCCGTGTATTTTGTAGAAGAATTAAACCACAAAAAGCTTCGATCAATAATACTTTTCGTTTTTCGTTTTCTTTTTACTTTTTACGAAGAACTTATTAATTTATTCAGAAGAAATAGTGAAAAATAAAACTGCTAAGATTGAATAATTCAAAATATTGTAGTCAGTATATTTTATTTATTATGATTTACTATATTTGTTCATTTCATATTAAAATTTTCATGTTACTTTAAAATCATATTTTAAAGTAACATGAAAAT